TAAATCTCTTATGCTCATCAAAGTTGCATTTACTTGATAAACTGTAATTATGAAATATTATTGCAATTTAAAATGATGGTTTACTATATGAATGTACTGTAAAATGTAATGTATTTCTGTGATGCGCAGCTGTATTTTCAGCATCATTACTCCAGTCTTCAGTGTCACATGATCTTCAGAAATCATAATAATATGCTGATTTGCTGCTCAAGAAACATTTCTGATTATTATCAATGTTGATTATGCACATCCAACAACAGAAAGTGATCGGAATCGGAGCTGAAGTGTTTGGGCAGATTGCACAAGAGAGACTTTGCTGGTTGCAGGTTAGTGGAATAGTAAAGCTTTATACAAAACCACTACACATTAATAAACAGGAGAATAACAACATTAACAAAAACGGTCACTAATCAAACACATTCTATTTCAGCTGTAAAGCTGCTCTACTGGTGCCCCATGAAATACATTTAATTTTTTCTCAAATTCTGTGTTTTCCGTTTACATTTTTCTAGTCTGTTTTAATGGGTTAAATGAAACTTTAGTACTCAAAGAATGTCTAATTAATTGAAATCATGAAACGTATTAAATTTAAAAACAGTTTGTTAAAAAAAAAAAAAACATTTTCAGGGCCTTATGAATTTTTTTTTTTTCTGAAATAAAATTGGGAAAATTTACGCGTGTTCCATTTTAATTTCTCTGGATTCTCTGAAACTTTAATAATAAAAAAGCATGATTTTGATTTTATTCATCGAAAATTTGCCCGATTCGGTGACATTTCATGTTTTACAGTAAATTCCATTTTTGTGAGTGCTGTTAGGCTCAGAAGAGTGTGTCGTCTTTCAGCTCAATTCTGATTTATTCTTATTCAGTCGTGTCATACTGAATATGAACCCTTGTGAATGTGTGAATTATCTTTGGCAGGTTGCCACTAAGAAGGTAGTGTACCTGTTTGATGTCCTCCTGCTCGGTGGGCAAGCGTTTAGAAACGGCCTGTCCATGATTCTGGAGAGTCCGCACATCCTGAAGGTGAGGAGACGGTTCTGAGGTGTGTGTCTGAGGAACGCAGGTCTCACTGGATCTTCTGGCTCTTCAGGTGCTTCATGACTGCCGCTGCATCGCCCGGTGTCTGAGAGCAGAGTTCAGAGTCGACCTCACTAATGTCTTTGACACACAGGTGCGTCTGATCTCCGAGCAGAGCCTGATCCTGAGCCAGATCACTCATTAACTCCACAGGCTCACTACTGCTGCTTCAAGTCTAGAAGCTTAATTCTACAGCGCTCAACCAATCAAACATGTTTTCTGATTAATCCCACCTAACATTAAAGTTTTTAAAATGATTATTTTATATTACAATAATTTCACATTCAATCTTCAAATTAATGTGGAAACAACATAAAGTATATTTTAATATTTGTTTAGTGGCATCTTTTTTTTATGATGACTGAAGGCGAGTATAACTGATACCAATGCTACTGATGTCTCTATGAAATTATTTTTTCCCCCAAATATTTAATCATTGATTATAGCCATTCAACATTACCGTATAATTGAGAGCTATCAATTTTAACATTTTAGACTTAAAAAAAAAAACAAACAAAAAAAAACCTTCTAATTTAAGTGAACTTAAAACAATGTTCTCATAAACCCATTATAATAAGTCATATTTACCTGTCAGCATTTATTAAAAAAAAAGGAAATCTTTTGGAATAATATACACTACCGTTCAAATGTTTGGGGTTGGTAATTTTTCCCCTTTTTTTATGAGAGAAATTAATAAAAAGTGATTAAGACTTATATTGTTAGAAAATAATTCTATTTTTAATAAATGCTGTTCAACAAAGAATCCTGTAAAAGTATCACAGCTTCCAAAATAATATGAAGCAACAACAGTTTCCAGCTCTGATAATAAATCAGCATATTAGAATGATTTCTGAAGATCATGTGACACTGAAGACTGGAGTAATGATGCTGAAAATACAGCTGCGCATCACAGAAATAAATTACATTTTATAGTACATTTAAATAGAAAACCATTATTTTAATTTGTAGTAATATTTTTTCAAATGTACAGTTTTGTTGTTTTTCTGTATGATTAATAAAATAAATGCATCAATGCATGATGAGCAGAAGAAACCTCTTTAAAAAAACTTTTAAAATCTTACTGATCCCAAACTTTTGAACAGCAGTGTAGATACATGAAATGTTTTATCATTCAGTAGTATAATAACAATACTTCTGTGATTTCTTCTTTGTTCTGTTGTGTTTATTAGTTCCTGTGCTTGCAGTTTGCCTTTTTTTAAAATTCCGGATTAGGGGTGGGGGATATGGAAAAAATATCATATCACGATTTTATTTTTTTTTTTAGAAATATCACGATTCTTTGTCATGTTGGTTTGACTATTTTGCAAGTTGTCTGAGCATTACAGCCAAACTAATTTCCATATTATAAAGACAAAGCCTTTCAAGCTAACAAAATAGAATAAAAAAGGCAGATATTTAGGCCAAAGTGGGTGAAGATAATAAAGTTTTTAAAATGATTATTTTATATTGCAATAATTTCACATTCAATCTTCAAATTAATGTGGAAACAACAAAGTATATTTTAATATTTGTTTAGTGGCATCTTTTTTTTTTTATGACTGAAGGCGAGTATAACTGATACCAATGCTACTGATGTCTCTATGAAATTATTTTTTCCCCCAAATATTTAATCATTGATTATAGCCATTCAACATTACCGTATAATTGAGAGCTATCAATTTTAACATTTTAGACTTAAAAAAAAAAACCTTCTAATTTAAGTGAACTTAAAACAATGTTCTCATAAACCCATTATAATAAGTCATATTTACCTGTGCTCTTCATCTCCATATTATAAAGACAAAGCCTTTCAAGCTAACAAAATAGAATAAAAAAGGCAGATATTTAGGCCAAAGTGGGTGAAGATAAAAATCTGTCATTATTTTATCTTTGTTATTAAAAAAAAAAAAAAGAACAAATATACACATTACATTACACACTACACATAATATACTTTATTGTCAGGTATAATAGGTTTATTTAGCAGGAGCATTCAAGAAACTCAATCAACAAATATATACTATATAGATTGATTCCTAATACAACTGTTTTAAAGATCTTCAGTCAAGAGTAGTGAGTGATTTTTCTCTTTGCGTTTTCTTTTTTATCGTTAAAGGAATAGTTCACCCAAAAATAAAAATCAAAGTCATCTGTCTGTCAATTCTGTCATAGTCTTTTATTGTTATACCATCATTTACTCACTCAAAAGTTGTTTTAAACCTGAAGGAGTTTATTTCTTCTGCTGAACACATAAATGATATTTTGAGGAACGTGGAAAACCAAGCAGTTGCTGGTCCACAGAGACTTAGTATTTTTTCCTTCCATCAAAGTCAATGTGGACCAGCAACTGTTCGGTTACCCACATTCTTCAAAATATCTTCTTTTGTGTTCAACACAAGAAATAAATTAATACAGGTTTGGGACAACATGAGAGTGAGTAAATAATTTTAGGGTGAACTATCCCTTTAATGACAGTCAGCAGCATGTTCAGTGCTGTCCCTTTAAGAGCTGCACGCATCTAATATACAGACACGCATCCGTTTCTCTCAACTGCTTGCTTACTTTTGTATGTAAACCTGGTGTGTTTCGACAGTATTAGTATGCTGTCACTGTGTTGGACTGTGAGCCGTGTTGTAGACGGTCCTCTTCTCTCTCTCGCACTCGTAAAGATGTTCTGCGACTGAATAAATGCAGTTCTTGTGAAAAGAGAGAGGAGCAGCAGTTGTGAGTGGGGCGGCCAGTCCTAGCTTGCGTTACACTGGAAAAATGATCCCCTGCGTTAACGCACCAATTTTGACAGCGCTATTCAGAACAGCTCCAGAATAACAGAATAAATTCTAGTTTGCGCTGTAAAGCACTGACAGTCGTGTGATTGTGTAGCTGATGGTTGTTCACACTAGACGTAGTTCTCCACGCTCCCTCAGAAGTGCTGATCTGTGCTGCTCTGCAGGTGGCTGATCTCATGCTCTTCTACCGCGAGACCGGAGGCTTTCTCCCAGACCGGCTCAGCTCTCTGCAGGAGGTGCTCCGACTCCACCTCAAGCTCCCCGCCTCCGACCTTTCACCCCTGTGCTCCAAAGAGCTCCAGCGCAAGGTCCGAAACAAACCACCTGTCATTAGAAGAGCAGATGGACAGTAAAAGTGTATTAATAATGCAGTGATTCACACTGGTGTCTATTTAGAAGCCAAACTATTTGAGTGAGAATAGTAATACATCTATTATTAATAATTTCTTTATTCTCTAATACAGAAATACATTGTTGTTGTAATACATCTGTACTGTAAATTCAAACATTTATATTTCCTACACTAGCATTCAAAAGTTTGGGATCAGAAATATTTTTAATGTTTTTTTTTTTTTTTTTTTTGTCTCTTATGCTCATCAAAGTTGCATTTACTTGATAAACTGTAATTATGAAATATTATTGCAATTTAAAATGATGGTTTACTATATGAATGTACTGTAAAATGTAATGTTCCTTCCATCAAAGTCAATGTGGACCAGCAACTGTTCGGTTACCCACATTCTTCAAAATATCTTCTTTTGTGTTCAACACAAGAAATAAATTAATACAGGTTTGGGACAACATGAGAGTGAGTAAATAATTTTAGGGTGAACTATCCCTTTAATGACAGTCAGCAGCATGTTCAGTGCTGTCCCTTTAAGAGCTGCACGCATCTAATATACAGACACGCATCCGTTTCTCTCAACTGCTTGCTTACTTTTGTATGTAAACCTGGTGTGTTTCGACAGTATTAGTATGCTGTCACTGTGTTGGACTGTGAGCCGTGTTGTAGACGGTCCTCTTCTCTCTCTCGCAGGAGTGTCCTGAGCTGTGGTACCTCCGTCCCTCTCCACCTGCTCTGATGAACATCATGTCTGCTTCGGTCAGTCATCTTCTCCCGCTGCGCCTCGTGCTTCTGGACGCTCTGATGTCAGATTACACCATTCTGGTAGATGCATATATGAGCAGCTACCACAACCAGCCTCTTCACATCGAGCAGGTGAGAACATGCACGCATGGCTTTAACATCAGAACCGTTTCATTATAAACCTATTTACTAATGATTCATAAACAGGTAACCTAATAAAAGGAGTTCACACAAAAATAAACATTTGCTGAAAATGTATTCGCCCTCAGGTCATCAGGATGAGTTTTTTTCATCAGAGTTGGAGAAATGTAGCATTGCATCAGTGTCTCAGCAATGGATGCTCTGCAGTGAATGGGTGCCGTCAGAACGAGAGTCCAAACAGCTGATAAAGATGTATTTAACTTTACGTCTTATCTGAATCAGGAGAGAAATCTGCACAGATCAAGCACCGTTTGCTCTGATTTTAATGCGAGAGACAACAGGAGATGGACTTCACTAGATAAAGCGTTATTATGGATTGTTCTGTTTTTTTGGCCGGACAGAAACTGCACACAGGCTGAATGTAAGTATAAGTCTCTGTAAATCCACTCTCTGACAGCAGGTGGCGCTGATGGAGCAGCTGAATTACAGCTGTTTCCCGTAACCTCCTGCACAACGCAGCACTGCGATTAAGAACACTTCTTTAGGTATTACATGGAGCGAAGATGAAAACAAAATGCCATCTAATCATTTCTGAAGACAGTCAGAATTCAGAGGTAGATTCATATAATTCATATATTCATTTGTATAATTCCCTTATTAGCACACTCTTAAAACCTCCCAGATTCTCCGCCAAAAACGAAGCTACTCTGTGCTGTGCGCACGTGAGACTGTTACTTAAAACTCTGCTTTATGCTGGACAGAATTTATTTATCCTGAGTTGTTCAAATCGCGGTAATCTAATATAATTATAATGATAATTAAAATATGAAACTAATACTAATCGTGGGGAATTTTATCACGATTTATTGTCAAATAAATCGTTACATCTCTTCTCCAGATGTTAACTGATGGACTGGAGTGCTGTGCATCCTGATCTCAGATGATCCGAGGGTGCGTGCATTTTCATTTTCATCAACAAAAAACCTGATGTTAAGTGAATACAATTCACAAATGTTTGACCTAATTTTCATTCCAAAACTATGGTTTACAAATGAAAAAACATGATCACAGCTATATTTAAAAACGTCCTGGCTCTTCCAAGCTGTTTAATGGCAGTGAATGGCTGTTATTTTTCAGAAGTCCAATGAAGCGCATCCATCCATAATAAACAGTGCCTCACACGGCTCCGGGGGGTGAATAAAGGCCTCCTGTAGCGAATCGATGCGTTTTTGTAAGAAAAATATCCGTATTTAAAACTTTGTTAACCGTAATCTGTAGCTTCTGCTAACTGTCGTACGCGCACATTTATTGGACTTCTTTTGGACTATTGAAAAATAACAGCCATTCAATGCCATTATAAAGCTTGGAAGAGCCAGGACTAGGGTTGCAAAAAGGTGGAAAATTTCCAGTAAATTATGGAAATATTCCAGAAATGTTGTAAACTTTTCCAGGATTTTTTGGAATATCCCAGGGATTTTTGGAAAGTTTCCAGAAATTTTCCACCCCTTTGCAACCCTAGCCAGAACATTTTTAAATATAACTCCGACTGGATTCGTCTGAAAGAAGAGCGTCATATACACCTAGGATGCCTCGGGGGTGAGTAAATCATGGGCTAATTTTCATTTTTGGGTGAACTAACCCTTTGAGTCGTCTACACTGTTATCCAGTCATAGTGTTTGATTGTGTTTGATGATTAACTCCTTCCCCGCGAAACACAGAATTTTCTGTTATTCATGAGAACGCTTTCCCGCCAAACACAGAATATTCCTGGTTTCCGTGTTCTCGCTGTTATACGCTAGGGGGCGCTATCACGCATCTCCTGAATGAGTCTAGAATCACTCGATCAAAAACACAGACCAGGAAGACGCAGAAACCAGCGATCTCATATGGAAGCATATGCATATGAAAAATAATGCGATCATCAACACTAACCGCATATACATGAAAACTGCCTAATGTTAGCGAGTGAAATGTGGATCCAGAAACAGCTGTGAAGCTTTGGGAGCGCTGATGGAAGCCATCTACTGCAGCTTTGCTTTGATAATATTACTGAATATGATCCAGATGTAGTGTTTGATAAAAATTCGATTTTCTCAGCTTTTTGCTTAAAATGTTGCTTTTTTTTTATGAAACCTACCTACATTCAAGTGTTGATAAAAAAAAAACAATGCTTGAAGCTAGAATAAACTAGAATTTTTTGTTTGAAAGTAGAGGGTCTGATCTTTATTTTGATGTATTGCATTTTGAGATATTCATACATCAAAATATTCTGATATTCCAGAAATGTTGTAAACTTTTCCAGGATTTTTTGGAATATCCCAGGGATTTTTGGAAAGTTTCCAGAAATTTTCCACCCCTTTGCAACCCTAGCCAGAACATTTTTAAATATAACTCCGACTGGATTCGTCTGAAAGAAGAGCGTCATATACACCTAGGATGCCTCGGGGGTGAGTAAATCATGGGCTAATTTTCATTTTTGGGTGAACTAACCCTTTGAGTCGTCTACACTGTTATCCAGTCATAGTGTTTGATTGTGTTTGATGATTAACTCCTTCCCCGCCAAACACGGAATTTTCTGTTATTCATGAGAACGCTTTCCTGCCAAACACCGAATATTCCTGGTTTCCGTGTTCTCGCTGTTATACGCTAGGGGGCGCTATCACGCATCTCCTGAATGAGTCTAGAATCACTCGATCAAAAACACAGACCAGGAAGACGCAGAAACCAGCGATCTCATATGGAAGCTTATGCATATGAAAAATAATGCAATCATCAACACTAACCGCATATACATGAAAACTGCCTAATGTTAGCGAGTGAAATGTGGATCCAGAAACAGCTGTGAAGCTTTGGGAGCGCTGATGGAAGCCATCTACTGCAGCTTTGCTTTGATAATATTACTGAATATGATCCAGATGTAGTATTTGATAAAAATTCGATTTTCTCAGCTTTTTGCTCAAAATGTAGTTAGGTTTCATAAAAAAAGCAACATTCAAGTGTTGATTAAAAGAAACAATGCTTGAAGCTAGAATAAAACAGGTTTTTTAGTTTGAAAGTGGAGGGTCTGATCTTTATTTTGATGTATTGCATGTTCAGATATTCATACAACAAAATATTCTGGGGGCCATGAAATTTTAGTGAAAGTCAGCAAAAACGCTGGCGGGGAAAGAGTTAACAATATAACAGAGCAGCTGGGTTTTACTCCATAGAAACATTTCCCTCAGACTCACTGGAAATACTAACATGTGCTCCAACTTTAGACTGAGTTTCTGATTCCTCGTATTTAATATTATACGGAAGTGGTTTCCTCTTGAGCGTGGATGTTGTGTGAGTGATGTGGCGGTCAGTGAGTGGTGACGTGACTCTGAGCTGTGTAATACTGTGGTGT